CCATGTGGGCACTGAGGTACTCAGTACCAAGTATAACTCCAAGCAAAAATACATTACATACAAAAATTCTAGTTTCTATTTTCTCTCTGATACTTGCCTCATGCTCTTTGCAGCGAGAAAGGGTTTTGCAACCCACTATTCCTCACTTGTTTCAGTCAGCTACAGAAGACAGACTCATGCCTTTTTCAGTCACAAATAAAATATTACCCTTACAGAGAGTTGTGCTAGGGAATTTGAGGTGATTGTGGAAAAGGCATTTCGAGCTTTTACTTCTGTGCTCTCCATGACTGAATGACAAGGCTTATGGGGTTCACACTTGTTTGGGTTTTTTCAGTTGAGGAGGCTTGGGGTCAGAAGTAGTGATACCGAACAAAATGTATACCTAATACTTCCAGAAGAGTCAACATAAAACTTTTGTATATACAACCAAAGGGTGCTTGATCTCATGTCAAAATTCATGCCTTGAAAAGGTCTCACAAAATTTCCAGGCTGGATACCCCCACATTATGTCCAGATAGAGAGTATCCATGTGTTTGGAACCAGGCAGCTAACGTGGGAAATCGGGTACCTGATTTCTCCAATAGATGGTGGGCAGCTCTGCCTAGAAGCAAGCCAGCTCTGCACTGCTAAAAACACCTTGTTTCCTGTTGCCTTTGATCTTATGCTGCAGTGGCTGTCAGCAAAGCTCAGTGAAGACTACAAAGTAAACCTACTCTTTCATTGGCCAAATTTCTGCTTCCGCAGGATGCTATCCAGGTCTGCAGTGGCATCTCACGGTTTATAATTAACAAAGATTAACTGGGCTGTGGACTAAAGGTTGGCAGTGGTGCTCCAGCCAAGCGGAGAGAGCTGCTTACTACGTAAGTGAATGTGCTCAGAACTCTGGCTCTTATACTGAGCTACAAATCCTACTGTTTACGATTGTCAGCCATCAGAAAAGAAGGACAAAATTTCTTTCACATGATTCATAAAATTGAAATACAGGAGACAGTGAATAATGCATTCTGGTGACTTCATATTTATTTTTTACTGGTTCTTCTTCCAACTTCTCATGGGAGAAGCCTATAATTAAATAGGTGGATTAGTAATCTGCTACTTTTTTGAAAGCAAATGCCTAAATTGATTCAAGATGACTACAAAATGCACCTTGCTTCATTTAGGGATAAGTGGGTGAAATGTAATGGTTTGTGATCTACAGAAGGACTGAGAAGACGATCCAATGGATGCTGTCATTCTTAAATTCCATCATTGTAAATGAAACTACTGTTCGTCCATTGTGTGTACATACTGTCTCATTTCAGCCACTAAAGTAAGGAAGCTTAGATAAATCTTTAATAACTTCTTTTCCTGCTTTGTGATGCATTGAAACTCCTGCTCTGGCATTAGTCTAGTAACATCAAAATGGTATTATTTTATTTTTGTATCATTTGAGGAGTGGACACAGTGCAGAAGTAATGAGTCACCTCCAAAACTATAAATCATGAGTTTGCACCGGTGAGATGGTAGACAAAACAAAACAACCGGGGACGTGATCAAAGATAAGCTAGAGGGACTCCCCAGTGAGTAAGCTAGCACAGCTAAGAGCAGCTCATTTTGAGTCTGTTTAAAGCCTAAGAAAGCATGGTGCCATTTGGGAAGTGAGCCAGGTGTTATGCAACAAGAAACTCCTCACGCCTTTGGAACAAGATCTTGGCTATCTGCTCAAATATGCTGTTGTGCTAACTGAAAATACTGCAAGGAATACAAAAATTGGGCAAAAGCTGCCTTGGGCGAAAGCCAGAGTGTAATTACTGTCCATGTGTACTTAACACTCAGTACCCACAGAAGAGGGTACTGCTTTTCTGTCAGCTGAGTAAGTGACATTATCTTTATCCTGCAGTAATGGAGTGCATACTGGTAGGTCCAAAGGAGAAGCAGACACACAACAAACTTAAACCCCATTCACGCGAACTTGTCACCATCACCTTCACCAGTTCTGGACAGGAGAGGGAGAAAAGTGCTACCATAGCTAAGGAGTGAGAACCAGTTGGGTTAAAATGCCCTGACTGCTCACACTGAACACTGTCCCCTGTGCAGAGAGGCAGCCTGAAGAAAAGTGAACGCTTTGAAAGTTACATTCTCCATGCAGAAGCCGACACAAATTCCTTGCCAAGGCCGCTTCAGTGGGGAAGCACATGCAAACCCACAGCCCTGGATGAATCACCAAAATACTGGCCTCTCCTGCTCACCAGCTGCTTCTGTTTTCTAGGAGCACTGCATAGGTCTGTCATTATGGCTTTCATGGGAAAAAGACCAGTGGACACCAAATCTTGCTTCTACACTTGTGATGTTCTGGGTGAGATGTTCACAAGGTCTGCCCTGGTGCTCAGTCATACAAGCATTGCCTGACTACCAAAACCTTTGGATGTCATCAGCAGAATACTGCTAACAGTTACACAGTATTTATTCAGAAATATATTTATGAAGTATTTGAGCTTATTTCCTGAAAAGGAAGCTTTAGTCACTGATTTCAATAAATGAAGGCTTTCCTGACCCCTGTTGCATCCATTCATGGCCCTCCCATGGTCACAATGTGTGTGAAGTCTGGGGGTCCATTCCTGTCTGCTGTAGGTCTTTTCTTGCCTGCTCTGTGGAAAGATGTGCTGCTTGTTTTTAGGCAGCTTGCTTCATTCTGCGGCTTCTCAGCTGCTCCATCTGCAAAATGAGGATAATAAGAATCTCCTCTCTAAAGAAGCCGCCTGCTACTCATGGAAGGTTTTGCTGTGCTTGGGATCTTTAGTTTGTGCTTGGTAAAGAAGTGAAAAAGATTTATTATTAAAGGGATTACAGTGTATATATGCTTGTGATGAACTCCCTGCAGGCATGCAAATATACTAAAGGGCAAATTTATTTCTCATTTGTACTTATACAAATTCCCTGCAACTCCAGCAGTGCAGGCAAGGTTTGCATTGCCACAGCTGAACATGTGTCAGCATCTGGTTCCACGGCAACTCAGTTTAGATGTTTATGTTCAATAATTGATAGCAGAGAGGTGTCATTTGCCTTATGAGAAACTTGGAATATCAGCAGGCACTCATTCCTGACAGAACAGTGCAGAGGAAATATGCTATAGGGGAGCCTGCAGTAGCATTTCCTTGGTGATGAAAGCCTGGGAATAAGCAGCTCCTAGTAGGGGCTAATTAAGTGGAGGATGTGTTTTCTCTGGTGTGGTGATTGTTCTGCAGTTCTCTGTCAAAGCTGATGTTACCTGTCCCTGGAAGATTCCAAGATGCAGAGCAAGAATAGAAATATTTACCTTCCTGAGGAAGAGAAGTCAGTCCTCCAAGCACACTGTGCTTTCATGTACAAACAGGGTGAAACCAGTCAATTGGCTGGTCTGAGAGGAATGGCCACTGCAGTGTGGACAGAAATTGGTGAGAAAAACAACAGTAGGAAGAAAAAGCACAAATCAGGCACCAAGCGTACATTTCTCAAAATATGAAGGGTGTACAATAGTACCAGGCACAGAAAACACATGGTATGGTTACTGCCTGCCTGAGCAATGCATGTAGACACAGTTGTCTTGAAAAGTGCTGGTACAGCAGGCTCCGAGCATTCTGATGATTCAATCTCCGAAAGAATTCGAAATGGCAGTCACGCTTCTGAACGCACAAAGTCCTTATCTTCCTTTTAAAGCAAAGAAGTCACTGCACCGGCAGGAAAATAGAAGGAATGCTGGAGGGCTTTACAGCAATGCATATCAATGAAAGGCTCCTCTTGGCTAACCACACTAGAATGAAACATATTCCTAGTGGTTCTGCCAAAGATCCTGGAAACGCTTTGGTGGTGATGACGGTTGATAGGGGAGAAAATAATCATAACTATGAAGCAGATGAAAGTTTTTGCTGTCTTGCTCTTGTAGCATCATCTATGCCTTTGCAACGGAATTGGACTACCAGAGGAAGACAAATCTTTGCCAGAGATACGGCAGCCAGGCTAAGGGAAGTCAGCAATCCACAGTGTGCCAGCTGTCTCACTTTATTTTTGCCCATAACTAAATTATTATTTTTTTTAATATGGCTTTAATACCAGCTGGCAAAATTAGTCAGTGTTAGTCTGAAAGGAAATGTTGTCAATTGGTTTGGAAAAGGCAGCTCTCAAACAGAGCCAGTCTGTTTCATTAAAGAGAAGGAAAGAAACTCCAGGCTCTATCATACACCATCAAGGCAATTTAGATTTTTGCCACTGATGATAACAGAAAAATGAATCTGAAGTAGAGAAGGAAAAGTCCAACTAGGTCAACAAAGTCCCTGGTGGGCAGCAACAGGGTATCTGAGAGCTAGTATGCAGAGCAGACATGGAAATGCTTGAAAGGATTCAATTTTATGGCACAGTGAAAGATTGCTCTGCTTCTGTTTCTATATAAGGTAGGTAATAAACTGTATTTGAACTGGTAAAAGAGGAATGAGATGACCCACATTTCAAAGCTGGAACCTGGTAGGTTATTATTATTTATGATTCATAAAGCTTGTGCAGTGCACCAAAAGAAAGGAAGGCGAGTTCCTTGCCCAGAGGAGCCTCCAATGCAAACCTTGAGAGAAACACTCTACTGTGCATGGGGTCAGCTCCAAGGGCTTTTTAAAATTCGAATTATAGTGTAATGAAGATCAGGCCTGCTCTTTCCATCAGAAAACTGGGATTCCTTTTCCTGTCTCTGCAGTAGGTGGTTTTAATGTTACGGGAATGCAACAGCTGAATATTCTGTGAAATGAAATAAGAACCTTCAGGTACCCCTTGCTTTCCACTCTTACTTGATGCTTTAAGTTCCTTTTCTCCTCTTGCACATTTCTACATTTTCTCACTTTCTTCTCCACAGATCTTTTGCTACCATTTTTTCTTTTCCTTTATTAATTTCTCAGTTTTTCAGTATTAGTTTTTTCTTTTTCATGAGTTCTCTTTGGAGTCTCACATTCACATTTTATGTCTTGCCATTCAATCATTCCCTTTTTTGAGCTGTTCTTTCTCTTTGCCTCACTCTGCTCATCCCTCTTCTGTCTCTCCTCCTTCCATTCCCCCTGGCCAACCTTTTTCTTTCACCAACTCCATTCTCTCAACCAACGACATACCCCAGCAGTATCCCCCAAACCAGCAGCTTTCCCTTTGCTCTTTCTTCAGGACCTGAGCTCTGTGTCCATCCTTCAGACGGGCTCCTCTTTCTGACCTGCACCCTGCCTTTGCATCACCCCTCCATCCCTAGGACACGGCTCACAGGTTTCTACTCAAGATAACAGCTCCTCGCACTCAGATCTCTCCAGGGAACCCTCCTGAGCACATCACTGTCCTTTTCAAGGTCCCAATCCATGATCCCTGAAAGTCTTCAAAGGTCCCTGTGCTCCCTAAAGGTCTGCCAGCCCCCATTGCTCTTTGGCTCTTAAGTCCCTCCTGGCCATAAGACTCTTAACTCCAGGGCTACCACGCAGCTGGATTGGTAAATAGAGGTGAGGACAGATGGTTGGAACGCGGGGCCGCGTTCCTCACATCGGGAGAACAAATCTGCCGAGGATCTTCCTTCCCTCCTACCAAGGATCCTACACGCCAGGTACTTGCCCACGGGTTTGGGGGCTGCTCCCGAGCCCCGAGGGGAGGTCCGGAGAGGTGCTCTGCCTCTGGAGCACGGGCGAGGAAAGACCCTGGGTTGGGAAAGGCGGCGGACAGGGGTAAGCGCCGGCGATGTCCGGCGGCGGGGGAGCTGCGCGCCCCGTGGGTTCTCACCGCCCTCCCACGAGTCACGCAGTCCCCCGCCGCCGGGCATCGCCCCAGCACCGCACTCGCTCGCCCCGGAGCATCCCCTGTCGCGGAACCCGGTCTCCTCGGAGCATCCCCTGTCGCGGAACCCGGTCTTCCCGGGATACCCTCGTCCCGCTCCCAGCGACGTCGTTTACCTTCCACTNCAGGGAGCCGGGACCGTAATGCGGCTGCGGACAGCGCTCCCGCGGCCGCCCGTGCGCCAGGGTTCCCCGGAGCGAGCCCTGGGCTACTGCTGGCGCTGGGCTGCTGCACCGCACGGAAAGGGCTCCCGGCTCATCGCGCTCTGCTTAGTTCTCTTCGCGCTGTCTGAGGGGAAGGGAGAATTTACACTCCCCGAACCGATTCATGATTTACTCGCTATTGTCCCTCCTCTGTTTTCCTTCAAGTCCAGCCACTATTCTGGGTCAATTTTCATGCGTGCTTTTAGTAATTTCTGCCATCCTCCCCACAGCTTTCCTGTTCCTGCTGTATCCTTTTGAGGGAGACCGAAACTCGACCCAGCAGCCAAGATGAGATACTCCACGGATTTACCAATGATACTCCAATACCTGCAGTCACGTACTCTACAGCTTCCTTAACACAGTTTAACAACTCCTTTGTGAGGCACGAAACGAAGTGTGTCCATACCGACACATGTTAAATAAAATGTCACAACTGGATGCTGCTTGTATGTAGCAACCTTTTAGAGTGTTTTTTGGGTTTTTTTCTGCAATAATTTTAAGATTCCCCAATCATGCCATACCAACAACGTGTGATAGAGCTACCCCTCTGTCAGAGCACAAAAAAAGTCTAACTGCCATTAATTAACATGACTTAATGCAAGGAGATTCAGGAGAGAACACATCGTAATGAACGAGTATGAAAGATGTAAAAAAATATTTATATCACCAGAATTCACAAGATGCTGAGCACAGTGACCTCAGCACCCTTTACTCCTTGTGATTATTTCTGTGGCTATGAAAATACTCTGCAGATTTACCAGGTTCCAAACGGAGAGGCGTCAGCAGACAAGGCGCAAATACTCAATATTTCTTAAGGTCTGGTCAAATTAAAATGAGTGTACTTTGCAAACAAGACTGAGCGGCCATCAATGCTCCACAAACATTCCAAAGTATTCTTTAATTATATAAATAGTAGCTATTGAAAATCAGTTCTGATAGACTTTTCAGGAAACCGTGGGAAAACACCACCCTACTTCTGCTGGCTAGAAAGTTCTTTATATTTAAGAGGCAAACTTTCTCAGGGGGTCAGACCCACACTATTTGCACGGCTCTTGTTGGTTGATCTCCAGCCTGATGAAGCTCCAGGGTGTTTTGCACTTCCTATGCCTCTTCTGTGCAACTTTTGGGATGAACCTTACACAAAAATCATTAGGCTACTTTCAAAGTGATTCTTCTGAAAAAAATAACCGTGTACTTGGTGCTAAGACCATAAAACGTCAGCTTAAATTTCAGGTCAAATGAAATAAAGACAATCCTGGTTTTTATGGTTATTTCCAATTCTTTTTAGTAGAATTGTCTAAGAAATTCAGCTTCCTGGGATGTTACAGATCATAGGCATTTGAGAACCATGGGTCCATCTTGTTTCATTGCACTCTTTAGTCTCAGAGTCCAATAGGTTTTTGGTTAATTAAAGGAGTTGCATAAAGAGAGGCGATTTTCACCTCAGATGGTCCTGTCCATTAAATATTTGGTGATGTTGCAAGTGCCTGTTTTCTGAGGATTTCAAAGCACATTATAAAATATTAACTCATTTTACACTGTCTTCGGGAAGGAACTTCAGGCTCACTGGTAGTTAAAATACAGCCACAGAATTTAAGAGACTCCCTTAGTTTCAGATGACAAGTAACACCAGAACATGGAGAGCACTGTCTGGCTTCTGCTCTGAGCAGATCTTCCAGGATCATCTCAGCCTCTGCTATATAAAGAGGAAAATAGAAAATCAGCATTTAACATCAAAATGTCATCAATTTTTCCCAGAGGTAAATGGCTGTGCAAGGATAATCAGACTTCCCTTCTGGTTACACTTGTAACCAGTAGGATGGTCATAAGAATTAGAAGGATATTTTGTTGCTGAACACTTATATTCTTTCCTTCTAAAAGACTTAGGCTCTCTTATTATTTAAAGGAAAGACAAGGTAAGTACATTATTTTACTGGGAAGGTGCTGCTGCTGATGTAGAAAATCACATTGAAAAGATGGGATTTTGGATGACATGTTACTTAAACCCTGCACACATGTAATATTTTGGGGTTTGCAGAGTTGTTAACACATTTCAGGCTCACAGTGTTTCATTTAACGCTGAATGTATGGCAGTAATCTCTCCTGTGGCTGGCCCCCTCTGCAGCTGGTGCTGTGGGAGAGCTGAGAGGCGTCTTGTCCTTCCTCTGATGACGATGCCTTGCACGGCCACAGCACTCAAGCTCCTCAGTGTTCAGTTCAGCCATCCAGAGAAGCTTTCAGAGCCATTGAGGACATTCAGTACCCAACTAAGACTGGTTTCGAACTGGGAAGAGACATCCAACCGCTTGTGGGCTCTTGGAAACCTTTTGCCCGATGTGTCTGTGAAGTACAGCTGACTCGCATACAGCTCTGCTCAATTCCAGCCCCAGAGCATTTTAACAGTCTCTGGTTTCTCTTGCCTCCCTTACAGGCACGCACTTACACCAGACATCCACACTAGGCCCCTGTCTTACACTGTGCATAAAAATACCAGCCACATATCACAATAACAAAAAAGTTGTGTTTATTTAATGAAGACTGGGGTGCCTGAGGACTGTGTTCCAGGGACTCTTCTGTGAAAGCTGCATTTGGCAGTAGGCTTGTTACTTTCTGTAGCTGCAGCATCCACACCTTCCCAGCCTTTAACACATTTACTGCTGGATTACATTTCACTTCATTTACCACTAGCATCTTACAGTATATGCAATGCAAAATTGATTCACATGGGGTAAAATTTCAAGTCAAATTTATGTCTTTTTACCTTTAAAACACCCCTCCTGTATTCAGGAGGAAATGGAGGAGAAGCTGGTGGATGTCTGGGCTGTGGACAGCTTACAAATGTGGAGAGAAGCTCTCAGACCTTGGAAACTGAAGAAGGCAGATTTTTGTTACCAATCAAGAGCAAGGATGTGAAAAAGAAAGGTCAGATTAAAAATTTTGAATAAAGCCATCAGAATTTGGCCAGTTTGAAGAATTTGTAGACTTTGTAGTTTGATGGAACTATTTTTTTTCAAGTTGTTACCCTTCTTCATTTTAGATTAAAAAATAATAATAAATAGATTGGTTTTGTACATATAAACCTTTATACGAGTGTGCTAACTCTCAACATCACACTGCTTTTAAACCTATGGATCATAACCACTTTCCTGAAAGATTCTTTATTCACACAGAAAGGTAGGTTCAAGACAAAACTAAATTCTCAGTTATGTGTGCTACAGCCTTTGCTTTTTTGTCCTGTTAGCTAGTTTGTTTAACCAACATGAAACACAATGCCCTGTTGCTAACAGGCACAGTTGGTATTTCCCCAGTTCAGACATTTTCATATTTAGTGTACTCATTAATAGGACATTTATTAATTTACGTGCTTACCTTACCACTGAGGGCAATAATTGTTGTGCTTAGCAACATGAAAGGAACTGGAGTGTGGACTTTTACTCTTGTAGCCAATTTCCTAATAGGCTCCATCTCATACCAGAAAGAATTCATGTGCTAGGAGTCAAACACATACACAATACCAACAATGGCCACAACCTGCCAGGAAAAAAATATCCTTTCCTCTAGTATTTCAAGTAATTTGGTGAATATTCTCCACAAATAATTATCAGTCTCTTTGCTGTGTTACTTTTGGTTTGCTACAATAACTAATAACTTTATAATCTATTTCTCAAAAAACAGATATCAAAAGCACATTTTTAACACAAATGTTAGCTATTTTGGAAGTAATGGTTGCTGTCCTCCAGTCATTCTGAAATCTGCATTGAGATGTTCTATCTGGTGACCATCCACCTCTATTCGGTTTGCAGCCTCCTACATTCACAACCTCCAGTCAGAACAAATTCACGTTTTTGTCAAATTTACATACAGTTTTTCTCTGCAATAATATTAACCTAGCTGTAAGGACAATGTCTTTCCAATTTTCCCTCTTCCAAAACAGTTCAGTTACTTTTAGTATCATGTCTTGGATTCACAGAACAAGGCTGTGAAAGGAAGGAGAAAGGAAGAGGAGGAACACAGACCTTCGCTGTGGCAAAGGTGTTCAGCAGAGTGCACCACACAGACACCGCTATACCTGAATCCCTTCTCTTCAAGTCTGATCAGAAGAGAGTGCTACAGATAACAGGGAAATGTGAGGTGTCCATGAGGGCTGCAGATTGTCTACATGACATATACATGACGATGTATCCAACTGTTCCTAGACATAGATGCAAAGTCCTGGTGAGAATGTCTTCCTTTCATATTTTTTTTTTAACCTTCTGTTTATAACTGCTGTAAGCATTACTGGAGGAGACGGCACTGCTGGATTTTATTTCCAAGTCTCATAAAATATTAACTATTTCCAATATTTTATGAGAAGCTCTCCTGGTTTGTGCATAAAGAACAGCTGCATTTCAAATAATACTGGTGAATTTCACAAAATGTAAGAAAAAAACTAGATTTAATCTCCGAGTTTTAACACCCTCCTGGGTTTATCTGGCAATTGCTTTTCCTTGTGTATTTGTATATGGGACACTGTCTGACTACAAGACCTAAATCACCTCAAATCATAAAAAAATACTTTGTTACACCATCAACAATGCAGCAACAATTTCTTCTTAACCCTTTAATTACCTAAGATATACTGTGGGTATTATTTTTAATACTGTGGTGTGGGCGTCACTTCTTCATTCTTCACACCAGCCCACTCCTGGCCAGTTGTTTTTGTAAAGCACTGAATGTGAAACGCATTTCAATGTAGTTGTGCACATTCTCTGCAATCATAAATAGTGTGTAAGCTGAGTTAAACCTCTACTCCTGAAGCACCTCAATTTAGGAGGACTTGATTTCTAACAAAGATACAAAGGCCATTGTCATGTTTGACAATAGCTCACACTTTGCGTGTTGAAGTAAAACTAGGTGAAAAACATCTGAAGTTGGAATATATGAAAACAGAACTAAAATATTTAAAACCTAAAAACACAATTAAAAAAAATAAAATCTATCATTCAGCCTCTGACTCAGAAAGAAAAGACATAAATTCAATCTGTGAGGCAACCTTTTGTCCTCAAAAAAAGGTTCTTTCAGAACTGTCTGAGCAAATATGCACATGCTCCTGGCCTCAAACAACCAAAAACAAACCATAAGAACTGAAGACAGAATCACATTTTTTTTTCATGTTCTCACCTGAATATTTACAGAACTCTGTACTGCCCTCCCAGTTTGTATCAGGCAGGACAGGAAAAAGAGATGAGATGAAAAAAGGGGCATCCAAAGATCTGTCAGAAAATAACAGTAAAGATACTTCTGAAGAGATATATTCTGTATTTCAAGTCACTGTTTTTACAGACAGTGCTCTAGGATGAAAATCACAGAATCTGTCCAATTTAAGTTTTGCTGCCAGCTGTTTGAACCAAAGATTAGGTAGGATTTAAGCACTCCCAATGGCCTGTGAAATGGAGAGG